CTGCAGGGTCTGAGCGAGGATGTGAGTATCAGCAAGTTCTTCGACGATCCTATGTTGTTGGAGCTGGCCAAACAGGATGTGGTGCTGAACTACCCCATGTGAGACGGCCAACACTGTCTGCAAACCATAACTGCAGCCCAACACCAAAACCTCCTCTGGTCACTCAACAGCAAATCCTGCTTTTTAAGGATATTTGGGGTATAATCCGGCCAGAATAACACAGAACGCATAGGTTTTCATAGATTCAGGTTAGACGATGGTTACTCTGGATCTCTGAAGACTCCATTGCTATTTTATTAGCTTGTCTCCCGTTTTTTAATGGAACTTCCCGACCATCATTTTTTAAAGTGGAGGTTACATGGATCATTCATCGGGTTGATGGAAACCATGAAAACACAGAGCCCTTGCTGTCTCAGGAGAGTTGTTGCTTTTTCCTTTTGGAAAGCAGCTGTATTTGTCAAACATTGCAGAAGTTTGTTGTGTCACATCTTTCTTCTTGTATTTTTGTTCTTTATATGTACAAATTGTTTTTGTAGAATAAAATAACTTGGAATCCTTTTTTTTAAGAAAAAAAAGTAATTGGATGTCATTGATCTGGTGTAAGTCTGAATAAAAGAAGTCCTTGTGATACAAAGAAAGATGTTTCTTGTTCCCTACTTTCTCAGACTGATTGAGGGCTCCTGCAGTAACCGAGATATAGATGGAGTTAGTATGTTGTTGTCAGTTGGGAAGGTGGAGCGTCGTGGACTCAATTCTCCGTCTGTGGGTCGAGAGTAGTGCGAAGTTGGACCTGTGCTGATGGTTTGAGTGAGTGGTGTGTCTGTTTGGGGTGCTGTGTGGGCAGTGACTGATGGACAGGCTTTGGGATGGTTGGAGGCAGGCGGAGAGGAACCAAAGGTTAGGGACACATGACCGAATAAAAAAGAAAATGGAGGAATGATGCATCATGTCAAGGATGACAGATGTCACTAAAGCAACTTATTACTGACATCTGAGTTAGCTGAAAATGAAAAGTTTGCTCTTTCTCCGTATTTTGAGTCAGTCTATGAATCTCTTGAATGCCAATGAGTGTTTACAACTGTACTCCAGGGGTATGTGGAAAGATTGTGGTGTAGCTTAGCTAAGACCAAAATATATGATAAAAGTACCAAAGACAATAGATGGCTGCCGTCTCTTGACTCAGGTTGACCCAGTTGTAACACATGCTGTGATTCAGATTCAATCAGTATCAAGCAAGGAGAAAACTCAAGATACACAGCTAAATATAACCTGTTCAAACGGAAGTAGTGCAAATTCACAACCTACTGGAAATAAACAACCTGGGCCTAATTATTGACAATTCCAGCAACACCAACTTATATGAATCCTTTTGGAGCATGGTGGATGGTGATGATGAAGGACTTTAAGCTAATCGTGGTCTTGGTAATAAAAATTAATATTCCTATTAACCTTAATTGTAACACCATTTGTCCTGTTTGCATGAATGAAAGTACCCATGTAGATGTCACCGGCAGGAAGGGATGAAAACTAAACAAAAAGTGCACACTGTACAAAGGGCCTCGAGTGTTTACATCATCCAAAGTCCTTTTGTTCGAATGTACAGACGAGAAGAGGATAATCCTGCAGGAGCGGGTCGAGAGCCACTATCTGCTGTGAAACCTGTCGCCGTGCATCATAACCAACACGATTTCAGGCTGACCACAACCACTGTGCTCTGTGAGAGATGAAACTGACAGCCTTTAAAGCGTGTGGTATTTTATCTTTAAGACTGATATGGATCGAGTGGACAATCACTCTAAAGAGCAGCTCTTAACTACACTTCATCACGGCTTGATGCGTGAGTCTTGCCACACCTTCAGAAGACTGTGGTGTCGGAACTGCTCAGCCCTTCATCAGTCGCCACTGACAACCCCCCCAACAGTCCTGGAGGTGGTGGAGATGGGGAAGGTAAAAACAGGGACAGGAAGAGTCAAAAATGGCTTGAGCAGCTTTGACATTTGGACTGAATGTCAATCCTGTCCAGAGAGGCAAGACGTGGGTAGATGGTGATGGGGGGATACTCTGCCCTTTTCCAGTGCTTAAGGGAAGGACAAATGAAGAGATTGAGGAATTGCTGTAAACATGAACGCACCATTAGGGAGAGCTAAGCGCAGTGATGGCACTCCACTCATTAGGGCATTGACGTGCGGCTCCTTTCAGGGTTTGTATTCTCTCACCTCCGCTCTGAAGGCATCTGCTGCTCTGACAGAATCAACTCTGCACATTTGTTAAGTAAACGTGCACTCAGACGACACAGTCCCATCACTCCTCCCTTGCGCTGGCGTGAGCCGGGATCGTGCCTGGCCCCGGGCGCTGACGGATGGCAGCAGTTCTTGCCGGTCTGAACACAAGGCCCCGGAGCACTCTTTACAATCTGTGGTCCCTGTGCTAAATATAGACAGGAGCAGGACTCTGAAATTGTATAGGGCCAGCTAGGGGCTCCCTCCTCTTGCTAATCAGACCTTTTCTTTTTTTTATTTTTTATCTCCACCTCCATCTGCTCTCAACCACCTCATCAGTCACCTTTCCCTGCAATGCATCTGTCCTCTGCTCCTACCTCTCCTTCATCTTGTCCTGTCTCTCTGCACATACACACCTCTCTGGCTCTGTCATGTGTCTGTGACTCAATCACACTTGTCTCTTCCTGCTAACATCACAAGCCGACCATTCCCTCCAGAACATCCAGCCAAGCTACAAGCAGGGAGAGCCCACTCAGGCAATTTCACACTGACGCTCTGCTTATAGCGAAGTAGTGGCCAGATATACAATTCATTAATAGATCTATGGGCTGAATGAAGATGATGAAGGTTGAGTCAATGTGAATGTGGTAATGTCAGAATTAATCCAGGGGTGGCTCTCTGCTGCTCCCCCCTACCAGAGCCAGGGAGTGATAGGAAGTTGACTTGTTAGTATCATGGATTGATCTCTGAACAGGTTTATCAAAGCCTTCGTAGGAAGTCAAAGTCAATCAAATGACTAGAGAGATTGAATACGGGAACTACCAAGAGACACAAGACCAAAAAAAGATGCAAAGCGACCTCAAAGAGACTCAAAACATCCACAAAAAGACACAGAACAACTACAAAGACACTCAAAGATCACAAAGAGACAAAATAGCAACAGAGAAATGCAAAATGACCAGAAGATGATGCAAAACAACCACAAATGATGTAAAACAACCACAAAGAAACATAAAACGACTACAAAACAGCACTGCTGCTTCAGTCTGAGTGTCTTGCTCCTTTGAAGGAGGGGTGAAGGGGCCTTTTACATGTCTGTGTCCAGGGGCCGTTGTCTCATAATCTCTGCATGGCTGTAGGATATTTGAAGTTACAAATAGCAGCTGTTATTATTTGATGATGTCATTTCTTAATAGAATATTTAGTGGGCATTTATTGACTCTCCTGAATACAAATGTGACTTGATATTGTACAGTTTATTATTACTCAGAATCCAGGCTTTGAATTTGAGTCTTAACATATTTATTACTCATTTTACAAATGTGCCCCCCCTCCCATTCAGAAGTTTCTAAAGCCAGCCCTGAATCCATCCTCGCTTTCTCCATCTAGCAACCAGCATCATATATGTTCTGACATCTCCCTCTTGGATAGTCAGATGTAGCCTATCTGACGGAAACACGGGAGGGCGCCATCATCGCCCAGCAGGTCAGTGACAATTTGAGGTCTGGCAAGGTCAGAGCTGTGAGCGAACGCACAAAAAAACACAAACACATGACTGTGTGACTCCTGCACCCTGGGGGCACCTGAAGGACCCAAAATACTGAATCACTCTCTAATCACAGAGATCAGAGAGTTTAACTCACAGACTGATTGAGGCTGCACATACATGGATGCCTTAGAGGGCTGCAGAATAGAGGGTTGGTGGAGGAATTAGTGAGCAACCCCCTCCCGCTTTAGAACAATCAAGCTGCAAACCTAAATCAAATAGCCGTTTCAATTTGCCAAATGAACCATGTGTGCTCCCTTTGCTCGAGGCTTTCCACAAAAGCAGATTGGGACCAGACGCGGGCCCTCACGCAGTGACGGTAAAGCACCTTGGAATGAGCCAAATCATTTCCACTCATTTCTCAGCAGGAAGCCCGTCTGACTGTATGGAATCACCGACATCATCCACTGAATGATCCTGGGTGCTTCAGTCGTTTCCTTGGAATATGGTTTGCGGCCTGGTGGTGAAATCTGTCCTTTTCTGTCACGGGTCGTCAGGTTGTGTCACTCGGTTTTTCCGTCCAATGGGCCTAAACTCATCAAATCTACACTCTATCCGAGCTTTGTGGGCTCCACGAGAACAACTAGTACTCCCAGTACTGCATCTTTGAGGGCCACCACAAACCAAACTAGACCAGATGGAACCGGACCAAAGCCAATTGTGTTCATAGAAGAGACCGTTCTGTTATTTCAGCAGCTCTCTGACTGCACTGTAATTTATCTTTTTTTTTTTCGAAAGTGTCAGTATTTATTCTATTTTATGTCATTTTATTCTTTGCTTTCTCTCCCATTTTCTTTTTAATTTGCAATAAATTGTTTAAAACCTGCACTAGAAATAAGATTGCGTACCATAAAACAGCCTCTCGACTGATTGAATACTGTAATTATAAACCAGAATAACCACCAATGTTTAATTGAAGGTAAAACCTGAAGCAGATGCCGAACACACAAAACCAGAATAATCCTATATTTTAATAAATACTATGCAAATATTAGTCTATAAAATATATGATTATTACCCTATCTTATAGTCTATAGTTAGTATAATTATGCTATAATAAACTGTTATAATTAATAACAGTGATTTATGAGAGGCTGCACAATAGAAGCTACACACACAAAGGGAAGATTCGGTTTAAAATAGGCGTAACTGCCCTTTCTTTTAGGCAGATGTTTGTGGACCCAAGATGTGTGACCTGTCGGGGGCGCGCACTGTCAAAGCCGCGTACGCGCAACCTCCTGCTTTACAGCTCCCCTGCAAAGACGGGTCGCCGAGCTTTCTGTCAGAGGATCCAGCTGTCAGTCAACGAGACCCTCATTCAGCCGGTGTCAGACTGTATGTGGCACACGGCGGAAAGCCCGCTCCTGATAAATACGAGACAAAGACACCGGTGGACCTTCAGTGATCAACAGATCGGCAACTCCACTGTCCACTCCTCCTGCGAAGAGGAAAAAAGGATGAGGGACCCGACGGACAATACCGGAGACAACTGGCACATGTGAGCGATATTTATCAGCGAATTGTGGAGCCAGTCGCAGAGGTATGAACCAATTAGCTCTCAAGATTTGGTTTTAATCAGTCAATGCGACTGTTGTTGGCAGCGGAGAAGGTTCAGCCCGTGCCAAAATGACCAGACTATTGTCTAGCATCGCTGTAACGGAATGGGCCCGCAGGAATTTTGGCACCGGTTTTACGCAGCAGACCACATAGTTTAATCGACGTCTCCTCGACCGAAGACAGAATAGTGTGGCGGGCATGGACAAAGAATGCTTACACATCTCGTAGTGATGCTATGAGATTAGAATAAAAAGACATCAGTGAAACAGCCTGCTGGTTCCTCCCGAGAAGCGGAGCAGATCATCAACGGCGGGATTCAAGTTTGGACCACACCAAGTCCAGAACGACCTTCCCCTCCCAAAAAAAAAAAAAAACCAAACAAGGATCATCTTATATCTTAAAGCATCTTCACAGACTCGCATAGCGGTAAGGATCTGTCTATTGATTCCCAATATTGTAATGATGTGTATTTCCACCTATGTTCTTGATGTGGCTCATTTCGAACCCAATGGAAGCCCTGGTGAGTGTGAACGTCGGGGCTCACGGACGCACCATTTGGCACCATAGCGCACAGACCACGGTTTCATATTTGTGGTTCTCTTCTGTTTTAATTTGCATTGGATTTTCTCAATTTATTTATTTATTTATTTTTGCATGTGTAACACGCTGGTCGAGGCCAAGCTGGGAGCAACAAGAGAGCAACTTCTCTGTACAAACGTGGTTTTTGGGAAGCAGCACTGAGCGGCGCGTCTAATTGACATAAGCTGCTAATTTGGGATCCACATTCCCGCCCATCAGGTTCAAATCAAACACAATTTTAGCCCTAAAAATACCGTAAAGTTTTGAGACTGAGCCACAGTCTCTCAGAATCTTTTGTTCTCAAATCATTTCAGCAGGAACATGGTGTAGATGGGCGGTGCAGGGGTTCTCCTCGGGATCTGGTTAAATCCTGCAGGAGCTGCTCAAATTAGTGGAAGTACACGCAGACTTTATAATGACTTTATTGGTAAACTCTAGAGATTAATTAGTAATGAATATATTTCACCGGAGTTGAAAAGCTTTGCCTACAAAGCGTTTTTAGTTACAGGGCTTTTTGTAGTGAATAGTATTGAACAGTGCTGTAATACAGCGTGCAGACTCACATTATCAAAAGCTGTTGAATTAACCAACTGAATTATTTCAAATAGGACGACAAATGTGCTAATTGAAGCAGTAGTTTTTTTTTTATAATAAAACAGGTTAATTGCTTAATAAATGAAACTAAATAGTTGCCAGAAGAACACAACAATGTCACATTTCCAACAATTACCATTACAGGTGTGAATAATTAAGCTTAAAATCATTTTCAAAATGTGCTGGTGTTGTGCAGCTCTGCGTATAAAAACACACCCTGGGTTTGTCCATTATAGTGCTGGTGTTTTTACCCATGGTGCTCTAGCTCTCTTACAACAGAATGGGCTAACTATTGCTTTGACAGCCCCTCCACACACACACACACACACACACACACACACACACACACACACACACACACACACACTCATCCCCTGATTCAGTGATTATCTCATCATTTCTGAAGTCAATATATCAAAGGAAACCCTCCCACCATTGAGAGCGGTTAACCTGTGAGGAGCGACCAGCACCCTGGCATTATTCACCCTGATGAGAAACCATTTCATTGTGCTGGATGCCTTTGAAATATGACACACTGGTTTCTGTGTGGAGCATTTGTCAACGCCACTGCAGCAGTGGCTCAAATATGAGCCACGATAATGAGTTTCTCCTCTGTGCTTTCGAAAATCCTTGCTATATGTAAAGTCATCGGGATGGATTGGGCTATTGCCAACTTCAAGAGCTTAGTGCTTGTGAACGATGCTGGCTTTCTACATAACATATGGATGCTATGTATTTATTCTTTGGTCAGCTGCCAGTAGAAGCATACCTACCTCCATTTGCCCTCCATTCCTTCTTCTTCATTTCCATCCAGTAAGTGCGGTTTTGGCATTTCACATCCTTACATAGCTACTGTAGATTCAATGAACATTTTCTGTGTGAAATTATTTTCTTCGAGGCGGTCCATCTCTGTTGCCCGGTACCCCTCCCTCCTTGTTACCCCTACCATCTCCCCCCCCGTTATTTCACCCCTTGTGGATTGGATGAGGAACTTGTACCAATATGGGAGGAGGGGAAGTCAACCCCTGTGCACTCCAGCTCTGAGAGAGAGATGAGGAGCAGATTCTGTGTGGCAGCAAGGAAATGCCCCATCACTTCAGTTAGTATCATGACCGATGTGCTCCTGACCTCTTTTCATTTAAAATATACAGCATATTTCTGTGTTGGCAGATATGAGCAATGAATTGTGCATGGATGTTTATTAAATGATCAGAGGACGTCCTAGAAACGTCTGAGAAATGCTACATAGCCGCTAAACTGGCTGGAAAGTTGATTGATAACATATCCAATAGTATACAGGAAGGACATTGTGTTTTCTTTAGTGATACGAAAATAGTACATCAAAGAAAAGGTGTCCAAGAGTGACTCTTTAATAAGAAGAGAATAGCACCACTGACAAAGCAAGCAATGTAATGTCTTGGCTTACAAATTGCATGATGGAAGAATACAATTTAGCACATACACAGATGTAAACAATTGGCTAAAAAGTGGAAAAAGCGCCAGTGGTGGAGGAAGTATTCGGATCTTTTACTTAAGTAGGTTATTAAAGGTTAAGTAGCAATACTGCAATATAAAATACCATAATCATTATCTTTAAGTACTGAATTAAAAAAGGTCACTCAGGTAAAAAATATACAACTATTAATAACACATTGTACTTAGCAAAAGAAAAATGTCCTGTGTGTTTGTTATACTATTATATATTATATTATTGGAGTTTGTATTGTCTGGCATTTTACTGTTGCAGTTCAATGATTTTCATCGACAGCGCTTTGTGATACTTAAAAACCATACGATTGAATTCATAATGACGTATGAACCAAGGAAAATCAATATTGCCATATATTGTAGAATGTATTATTCAGTTCCTCTTTGACTTTACACTTAAAAGCTAGAATAATACTCCTTGGGGGTTGTAATCAATAATAGTATATTGAATTAAGAGTGCAGTGGATTTTGCTTGCAATCTTCAGGAGCAGAATGCATAGAGCATTGTGGTTTTATCTTATATTCATGTACAAATATGGGAATAAAAAAAGGTTTGGGGTTCCTATTGCCACGTTAAACTGCAGTGTTTGTTGCTAACCAGTCAAGATAACATCAGCATGAAAGCTCCGCCACTCTCAGCCAGATGTGCACAATACAGTAACATACAGTATTCACCAGCGTCAGTCACAGATGATAGTTTTGAGTCCTAAATTGCTTCATTTGCTCCATAAAATTCCTTTAATCTCTAAATATCATCAGAATATATTATGTGTATCAAATTCTTTACCTTTATGCTTTTATTTAAGTATTTTTTTTTCTTATGTTAATCACTTGCAATTAAATCAGGCATTTACAATTATCATAATTGTCACGTGAAATGTCTGCGGGATGTGTTTAAGTCAATTAAATGCTTTATAGGCAGCTCTTTTGAATAATTGGAGTAATTCACTTCCTGTTTTTCCCAATTCTTCCCTTCAGAATGTGTCATGTGGAGCCAGTACAGTAAGAGGTAAATTTTATGCTTTTAGCCACTACATCAAAAACATACCCACTTGTATATGAGGAGCAGGTGTTTTGCAACAACATAGTCCACATGTTACTGCCATCTCAAAAAAGTATATGTGAGCAATTGTTGACTGCTGTGGATGAGTTGAGGAATATGTGAAGGTGATGGGAGATCGTTCACCGCCGCGGCTTTAACTGGCTTTATGCAACATGAAATATCAAGGTGTTATGTCTATATCTTGTTTAGCAGATGTGAGCACACTGCCAGCCTTAATCCTCAGAGTGCAGCACACAGAGGGAAAACTGTGTCTTTATGCCTGCCAACTAGTCTGGATTCCCTCTGCTTGACACTGTGTACTCTCCTCTGCATTTTCTGGTTGCCAGTTCCTGTAAACGACATTAAAGTAAGAGCAGAGGGAAGGTGTAATTACCAGGTGATGGGGATTGTTAGAGGTCATCAAATACACCTACTTTTACTCCCTAGCAGTACAACGTCTTGTTTAAAAGTAGGACCTTTGATTTGGGTGTACTGATGGGGCCATTTGAAAGTACAGTATGGATGTCATTTATATGGATTTGGATGATGTGATGGAATTATTTCTGGACTGAGCAAGTGGTAATTTTCTGGGAGAATAGTTTCATCTAGAAGATTGAATATAGTGAAATTTGTTCCGTAAGATTGGTATGAAAATAATTGATGAGACTACTGAGATGTGCCGCGTGTCTTTAGATAATTGTGAAGATTAAAACTGGATTGTAATTAAATTGTCATTAAATTGAGAAATTAAGAGTTTCACGGTGTGAGCCGTAAATGACAAAAGATTTTGACCTTCATGTATTTCCCCAATTTAGTCAGTTGGGATATTGATGAGTCTGCTATGTGGTGTCTTATGTGTGCATTTGTAGTGTACAACTGAGCATGCTTCGTGTCCAAAATGGCTGATATTTTAGGGGAGACTCCAAATATTACGATGAGCGGGGGAGGGCTGTGTCGTGACTCAGGATGACTCCTCAGGAAAACGAGCCCCGCAGTCGGACCTGACCCTTCGCAAACAGGCATGCTCCCAGTTGTGTCGGTGCACGTGTCGGCGTGACGCCACAGCAGATCTCTGAGTCTTTAATTGCATAAAATGGAAGAGAAATGTCTGTTTTTGTAGTGACAAAGGGAATCCTCACCGCCATGATTCGTGTCATCCGTGTAGCACTGCTACAGCATGTGAACAGCTGTACAGTTTTATATAGTGTTGTACTTGCACACATTAAACTCAAAGTGTATCCATACCAATTGCAATTATTTGGCATAATGCTGAAACAGTTAGTCTATTGATTAGTCTGTCAACATAAAATTAATTTCCATTAATTTTGATAGCTGATGAATCATTTTAACTTATTTATTAAGCAAAAGTGCCAGACGTTTTCCAGTTTCAGGTCCCCAAATGTCAGAATTTGCAGCTTTTTCTGTTTTACATTAGTATAAATTGCATTTTTTGAAGGCATTTTGGTCTGTTGGTCAAATAAAACAAGCAATTTAAAGATGTCACTCTAAGCATTTGCTGACATTTTGGAGACTAAACAACTAATAGATTAATTGAAAAAGTAATAGACAAATGAATTGATAATGAAAACAGTCGTTAGTTGCAGTCCTAATTTACTATTCATTCAAAGTAATTAAGTTTACCTTAATAAATTGACATATGATATGAAACAAACCAAGTAATTATTATTTTCATGACTGAGTGATCATTTCTATGCATTAGTCC